TTGGTAGCCCAGGCTGGCCTCGAACTCACAGAGATCCGCCTGCCTCTGCCTCCCGAGTGCTGGGATTAAAGGCGTGTGCCACCACTGCCCGGCAATGCTACTCATTTATAAACAGAAACCCAAGAAATAGGAATGGACGTGATTCTGAAGATGGCCTGAAGGAGGTAGATGTGATACTCCAGCAGCTGAGCATGGCTGCAGTGGTCCTCTCAGGTGGTGTCCTGCAGACTGAGCACAGTGGTGGTATTGGCTTAAATATTAAGGCAACTCCATGTAGTTAAAAGGGAGGTTTATTTTGTGGGGTAACTTACAAGTGAAGGGATAGTTTACAGCGTCTGGGAAAGGTGTAGTGCAGTCGGCGGTGTTCTCTGGAGAACTCTGCTCAGTCCACCTTCAGCGTCAAGGATCCACGAACCAAGCGAGCTCCCATCTGGATCTCGGGTCTTTAGGGGTCCTCTCTCAGCTCTGCCTTGTAGGCGTGACAGTTACTGAAGCCTCAAAGGGGGTGGTATTTCCAGGTCAAAGCTGGAACGGCTACCCACTACATGGTGGTCCTCATGAAGTGAAATTGGAGTGTCAACTAATCCAGGTGAAGAAATTAAAAACATCCAGGGAGAGGTGGGTGTGGTGGTGCTTGTCTGTTATCCCAGCACTTGGGAGGTACCAGAAGGAGGATCATAGTAGGTTGGAGGCCAGCCTGGGCTACATGAGATCAAGTCTCAAGAAAGGAACATAGGTCAGGGATGTAGCTCAGCTGGTAGAGTGTTTGCCGTTCATGGTTTCTATCCCCACATTGCAGTGACCAGACATTGTGGTCCAGATCTGTAACCTCGGCACTGGGGAGGTGAAGACAGGAACACCAAGTTCAAGGCCATTTCCAGCTACATAGCAGATCTGAGGCCAGCCTACATTACAGGCCAATCTCAAAACCAAACACCCACCAAGTCAGGGCGTCGAGAATATTAGGAGGAGAAAACAACATAACTTGTCCGCTCACTCTCTAACCGTAGTCTCCAAGAAGATCCAAAGGCACCTCCTTGGGTGGCTAACACTTCAGCCAGATGTGCTGAGAGATGGAAGGGATGGTGCTAAGGAGGCCTTTGGAAATGCTGAGAGTAAATCACCTAGAACAGAAGGGGCAGAGTGAGCAGATGGCCATCCCTCAAGAATGTTCAGGAAAGGCATTCCTTTCTGCAGAAGCTTTTGCGAGCAGGTGGCAAGGAGACCTCGCTGTCAACTTCTCCCCAGGTAATCGAGTGCTCATTTAAGAAGTTATGGCAACTAGTGAGAGTTTATTGTAGCTGGAGAGCTCCTTTCCAGCTCCCACCAAACCCCGCCAGTCCCGGAGCCCACTTATAAAATAAACACACCGACTCTTATATTATTTAAACTGCTCGGCCATTAGCTCAGGCCTACCATTGTCTAGCTCTTACTCTT